TTACAGTCTTATGTACACTTCCACAACTCTTACCCTGCGTATGCAAATCTTTTTGACGTCATTCTACCTTCATAGTTGACAGTCTATGAGCACGAAGCGCTTACAATGTGCGCACATTGTAAGCGCTTCGTGTTAAAAACTGCAAAGCACAAAGGGAAGAGAAATTGATGCGTAGTGTATTATATCTGTGCAACAGTTATTGAGCCTTTCTTTTAACAATTTAAAATTTCAGTTACTGTGTACGTTATAAACAATTTATAGTCTTTTCTACGCCTGTGTTTTGTTCTCACAGACACCCGGTAGCAAGTAACAAAACAACATTAAACTCCGGCAAGAAGATAAAGTCCTTTTTGCAAAATCATAGACATGTATTTACAAATCAAGTATAATGGGAACACAGAATGATCTTGGAGAGCGCTTTACCGAGCTGACTGCTGTAACCGAACGCGACCAGGGTTTAAAGGCTGAACGAATGACTGACAGCCGCAGCGGAGAAAAGAGCTTGTGTGAACTTTAATGTAAGGACTTAAATATTCATATGTAGCTCACATTAAGCTATCGTATGGCTTCAGAAGTAACACAGAATAATTCGCACAATCGGAAAAAAAAATCTCGGATTTGGATCGGCTCTCTCTGACCGATACCCGATCCGAGAAAAATGCCACTATCTGAGCCGATACCCGATATGAATATAGGATCGGCGCATCCCTAACAGCACACCTTGCTTTTCAGACCGATGAGCTTTGTAAAAATCGACGCGTTTCAGAAAGGCGGGGCATAGAGGAGTAACAATAATGTACAGTATGTGGAAAATAATGCGTTTTTTGAACCTTAAACTGCATAAACACATTTCATTACACCAAATACACAAAATAATGTTCTTTTTAGCAGCATCATATGACCCCTTTAAGGTCCAGTTTTCTCTGTAAACAAACCAATAACTACGACTTTTGTCCCAAACTCCTAATTTGCTGCTTATTAATAGTTAATAATGTAGTTGTTAAGTTTAGGTATTAGGTAGGATTAGGGATGTAGAATATGGTCATGCAGAATATGTGCTTTATAAGTACTAATAAACAGCCAATATGTTAATAATAGGCATGTTAATAAGCAACTAGTTAATAGTGAGAAATGGTCCCTATACTAAAATGTTACAGATTGTTGTTTTAATAATCACTTATCTGCACCATACTCTTTTTGGGTAACACTAACAGCTCAGTGTTAGAATTCCTGTTACAGAGCACATATATATTTTGCAATTTGTGTGTGCATATTCTAATTTATTTGAGTAATGGACCCTTTTCACAAACAGTGAAGACACATTTTCACAGTTATTAATATCATAAATCTAGTTTTTTTAGTATTTTATTTTATTTTTTTTAATTAACGTCCATATAACCAAGCGGCAACCTCCCGGTCTCTCTCTTTGAACCAACACGGAAGTGTCTAAAACTGCAATTCATCGGCTGGCCGCTAGAGGCTTGCTCCAAAAGGGAGTCAGTCCCATAGACCTCCCATGTTAAAATGCCTAACTTTACAGCAGAAAAAAAATGTTTACAGCCTGGTACAAAGAGTGGTTTTGGTCTATATAGGTAATTTTTCCCTTCATGACAACAGTGAGGGGGGTGAATTTTTTTTTATAACTCATCCGTTTAAATTATATATTAAGCCTTAAAGTTCTGCATAATTAAGGGCGTGGCCACTTGAGTGACCGGTGGACTGCCGCTCTGCTCCAGAGTGTGAAACTCGCTAGACTGTGAAACTTAGAAAAAATGGCTTTAAAGATTTTTATTTGTCCAGAAAAATTTATTATGGGTAGGACACTGGAAATCTGGCAATTAGATGTTTTAATGAAAATGATCTCAAACTTGATTTTTACTGCTATTTTGAAGTTATTGTAGGTACTTTGCCTTTGCACTGTCTGCAAAAAGTGAGATGTCACGCCAAGACAAAAGGCAGTAACTTCCACATTATATACAATATTTGGGTGCTGATCACCATTTACAGAATCATTATAGTAACATCTGTATAAAATCTAGTGATCATTGGCTAGGCTATAACATATAGTAATGTGATTGATTTTTTTTTCTGACCGTAACAACCAAAAGTTAAACGATACCGTTTTGCAACCAATTTATTTGCAGTGTTCACTAACATTAAAGGGTGCAAGACATACTTAGCCTATTGTTTTTACATCGAACTGAATGAAAATAGCTTAACCTATAAGAACGACTTGTGGATTGATGTGAACGCCAGCTGTAATAATGCTCAAAATGATTGTGAATTTAACATCTCCGATAACGTTCATTGCAATGGATTTTATCAAGTTACAAGAAAAGGTAGGAAAAGGATTTAATTGCTAACAGTTACTGATTTTATGTGATACGCTGTCACGGCATTCGATTCCTCACACGTGCAGAAGTGGGCAGCCCCAGGCTGACAGCTGGCACTGAGTGAATAATCTACATTATAAAAAGAAAAAAAGCTTTAAAGATTATTGTTGCCAAGTTATCTAGTCGTTGCTTGTTTACAGTGCTTTGTTATATGGAGCAGTTTATTAGATCACGATCTATCTAATTTGTTTGTCTAATGAAGTGCCGACAGATATATGAAAGTACACAAGTTACACCGTAATTTGAACGCGGCAGACTTTAATGGACAGTAAAACAAAGGCAGAATACCGTATAACTCCAGGCTGGCACAGTAATATTGACGAAGGGCTAAACAAATGCAGAGCACCGTAACTTAATTTGAGCGTTCTAAAACAAAGTCAAAGAGCGATAACTGATGATATACTGTGTTCTGCCTTGGTATCTCTGGGGCTTTTCTCCAAGATACTTATACACATGACAAAGGAAGCCATGAATGTCCCAAAATTATCAATAACTAATTTTTGACCAAAAACGAAGTTATGGTGTTGTGTCTGCATGGCAGCACTGCTGTCACAATAGAGTGGGGGAACTATGACGTCACTTTGTAGGCGGATCGGCTGTTAGCATCGCGCTGGTTCAAAAAGCCAATAGGATTTTTCAATAGGTTTTTGGATTATCGCAAAAAATAAGCTCTGTGTTCAATCATAGTTCATGAAACTTACACGTTTTGTCCATCAAGATAATCTTAACAAAATAATATAACTTTTATGAATTTTGAAGCCTAAATAAAAGCGCCAGAACTTAAAAGCTAAACTTGGGCTATAAACGAACTACACCACCACGGTCGCTCGCCTTCATCGTCACCACCACCATGCTTCCCACATTTTTTCAAACTTACTTTTAACACGTTCAGTGAAAAGAATTGACCCTGTATATGAATTTTAACCCACGCTACATGAACCTTTTCACATAAACTGGAATAAATACAAAACTAAAGCCAAACTAAAACTGAAATGAGATATTATTAATAAATAGTATAGTGAATAAATGAGAAAATCACAACTAAAGGACACATGAAAGCACGTATTTCTGCACATTTCGAAATAAGGTGCATTAAAAGTCAATAAATCCTTGATTAATATGAATATTTTAATTAAAAACGTGTCTCCAC